CCAAAGTAATGAAATTATTGCTGTGTTTTGTGCGCTTACGATCGCTCCCAGCAACAACTACCCACCTTTAGATATTTAGTTGGTTTTTGCGGGTTTAACTACAATTTGATCCATCCTCTAACATCAACTCTGCCCGAATGAAAAATTTTGAAATACATATTATTTAATTACCACTTAGAATACATATTTCCCAATATCACAAGCACAAGCATAGTATGTTTAGAATTAGCTTTCTTGGGCGCTACACACCGTCAGGAATTTTGTTTGAGAAAATCTCAAGGGTAACCTTTTCCTTCAACGTGTGACGAATTGCTTTCAGAGTAAGAATTATAAAGCTTCTATTAGCGCACATTTCGGCCTTTAAGGGCCCTTTCTCGAGAAATTTTGGAAACTGAGGCCGAGCCCTCACCATTAGACTATGGGTTGTATAGTAGAGTCAAAGGATCGAAAACAGGGTCAACCGTGCGTTCGCGCTATTCGAACGAGGGGCTCGTAGTTGTGGTTGATTGTGAGAGCGGGAGGGGTCGAGTCAGGGGTTGATTGGGATTAGTAATTGGTTGGGTGGCAAAAATGGCGAGGCGATTTAGATTGGTCTTTTGAGGGATTTAGCGGATGTAATTGGCGCGCGTAGATAGGTGGGAGGATAGAAAATTTGCCGTTTTATTGAGCTTATAACCCATATTCCCCATTCCGCGCTCGCTCGCTTGTGGGTTGTGTCGCTTGGTCTCAGAATCGAATACTATAGAAACAGCCATGATGGCGAGGGTGGTGGTCGGGGTAGGGAGAAGGGTGGTCGTATTAGGGGAGCCTCCTGAGTCTCATGGTGGTGGGGGGTCGCATCGAGACCCCCTAAAGAGGGGGGTCGCAAAATTTCTGAAAAGTGCGAATGTCACAGTTGACCTGACTGAAAGTGCAAACAGTAAAAGAGAAGTAGATGCCTGATTCTTCCAATGATTCTCTGACTTTTCGTCTATTGACTTACCATTAGACCGTAGTGTTTCGTTGCTGCATTGCTGCGACTCAAAGTCCTTGTTTTCGAGGTTTATTCAGACCAAACCCAATAAAAATAATAGCATTGTAAGCAGCGGTTGTGGGTAATACGCCCAGTAAGAGAGTTCAATTCTCCTGACGTATCGTCTTAACCACGGCAGCACATCGCACCTCCGCAGGTACTGTAACCATAGGAGCAACCACAACCAGAACCCGAACTCACACATGGCACCTGAAACCAGCGACATGGACTTAGTCAGGCAAGAAATGGAAGATTTGGAAAAACATCTGTGGTTACCGTTTTCGAAGTTCCAACGAAAACATTTCATAAAAATGAAAAAAAATGGTTTTGAAAGCTCACAACAATCTGTTGCACTGCTTGGCAGGTTGGCTCACAGCTGGTTTGGCATCGTTGATCGCAAGGCGTCAGCCAAGGAGTGTATTCTGGCATGAAACCATGCAGCGACTCTGACAAGTGTACACGCAAGTTGACCGGCATGATTGCTTGGCACTGTGCTTCGCATACTGTTTGACACGAGTTCGTGCACATAGGCGAGTTGCCGCACGTTGCAGCGCACTGCTGCATGCACTGATCTGGGCAGCTTCCGATAGGATACTGAGGACCAACAGGTCCAGTCTCAGGATACTGAGGACCAACAGGTCCAGTCTCAGGATACTGAGGACCAACAGGCCCAGTCTGAAAACTTTTCTATGGCGCGAATCCAACTCGATACATCAGTTACTAAGAGTTCAAGAACATGTAATGGGGCACTCATTGCATCAAAAGCGAAGTCAGCAGTGAAAAGGCAGCTCATTAGGAACAGGGTAGAGGTGGATCAGTGGTGCCAAGATGAAGAAGAAACCATGGGAAACGGCCTAGAACCCGAGAAATGGGACCCCTTATCTGCCCGTTGATTTTCGCATTGATGCGACTCTCATATGCGCTTCACCTTTTCAAGGCAACATCTCTCTCTCTCACTCTCTGCTGAACGGCTACGGTCAGACGGCCAGAAGGTGGGTGGGCTGCGGCGATAGCGGACGGAGACGTCCACGCCGGGTTGCCGGAAGCATATCCTCCGCTGAAAATAATGTGTTAGCTCGCCCTTTTTGAAACTTTCCTTGTCCTTGCACTAGATGAGTTTCCTCTACTTCTACCTCTGACGTTATCGTGGAGCACTTTTTGAAGGATATGACAATGATACGAAGGACACACCCCCTAGCATGGCCGTCCCCGCGCCGCTATCGCCGCTGCCTGCCCACCCCCTCGCCGTCTGGCTCTAGCCACTTAGCAGAGATAGCGGTAGTCGAAATGGGCAGCACCGACGAGAGTGGCATCAATGCTGTGAAATGCATGTAGTTTTTCGCATCTCTTTTGATGCATACTTTGTTCATGTGTTATAAAATGACGAAAAAGCGCTGAGGTACGCAAAGAATGAGTTTTGACCAAGTAATGTAATATTAAATATAATTTAATCTCGAGAATGCTTAAGACATCCATGCGCTGTACAACTACGTAACTTGCTCACAAATTTTCTAAGCTCTGTTAAAGAAGAGTCTATATACACTGCGTCCCATAATTATAACTCCACCTAAGAATTTCCCAAAATCTCACAAATTAGATGTTTAAGAAAAAGTCTCCAATGTGGCAGTGTAGTAAATACAAATACGAAATTGCCTATAAACATCAACTTCCAACTTGAGATCCCAGGAATTTTTTCTAATAATTTTTGTTAAAAGGCCACTTAGCCGACGTCCCAAAATTATAACTCCACCTCATGTTTTTCTATTATTTTTCACTTCCGTTTCGCCAAACTTTTTTATTGTGCTAACATCCTACTTCTCAAGGGGACAGTATGATAGAAAATGCTGTCTGACTTTTTAAAAGGTCAGTCGTCGCAAAAACTGTTGAACAACGCAATCGCGCCAGATTTGGACCAAATTCACGCCAAGCTCAAGAATTTCTTCAGGGGTTTACATGATATGGAGCTTAGAAGAGCTCTAAAGGTCTCTCATTGATTTTCGATGGAAACAAAGGCCGTGTCACAGAAGAAACATCCTTTTTTAGAAGCCGTGCTCTGCCATCGAATCTTCTTTGAAACTTAATGTCTCAACGGAACAATGTTTTTGCTTGCGAACGAATCCCAAGTTGATTCTTGAGTGGAAAACGTGGAAGGCATCATCTGTGGCAAGAAACCATGGCGAAAATGGGCTGAGTTTTCCATGAAGGTGCATCGAGCCGACTGGAGTAAGGTTCGCTTTTACTTGATATGTTTAGCATTTGTTTGTCTTTCTTTTCGCCATTTCCTTTCTCCTGGTAGTGTTTCGCGAAGAGAAAAGCTGCTAAGGATAAGAAAGATACGAAAAGTTGGG